TGTCATCTATAGTCAATTCACTGTCTCCTGCAATAAACAGTTCTTAGATGTTGGAATATACCTCCAAGGCCAATTAAGAGATACCAGCTATTGCATCATGGACAGTAAGGTTCCTTTATCGCTCTCATCTTGTAATCATTCTGAAAAAAGAAAACTGGTCATAAATGAACAAGTATTTAAGTATGTATCTGTATGCATCCTGATTAGTTGATGGTGAGAGTTTGGTTTCTTGATTTGTCCATTTATCTGTTGAGAAAAGTAATTACAACTCAAGGAAACAATCCTCACAATCCTTGCTGTCAATTTCATGGGAAGCCTATAATCTGCAAGGACACTAACTACTCCAATTTTGATTAGGACTTCTATAAAGAAGTCCTAATCAAAATTGGTGACATCCTCAGAAATATGACAAATGACTGAGCAATGAAATGAACTTATTTGAAACCCTAAACAGCAACATCAGGACAATGATAAGTCACTACCTGTAAGGTTACAAAGAATTGTCACAATAATATTTTAAATCAAGTTATAGAGATATCTTTACTAAACCATAGCCTTTACTTATTCTATTATGACTATTATTATATATTTTGTATGGCAATATAGAAGTTGTTTAACTGTTGATTCCAAATCATGGTCGAAGGTAAAGAATTAGAAGACCAGGTGTCAGCACAGGAAACAGAAGAGTTTAAAGTTTGCACTTTATGTTGACAAAAAGTCAAGAATTCTGGTCCGCTCTTCTCCTGGTAATGTTCGCATTGATTACACAATTAACCCCGTTACACACCAAGGAGCACATTTCAATGTTTCTGAATCCTATCGGGATTAGTCACAGTCCTTGCATAAATAAATTATTTGTTGAGCAAATCTTTATTTATACTTGTGAATAGATTGAGCAACTAAATAAATTTCAATTTTTATACTACATTTAATTCCTGTTTGGTTGCGATTTAGGCAGAGCTTGTGAATTGGAAGGTCATAAACTGATGTAGTAGTCTACATCCTGGCTTTCCTTGTGAGTCCATCTTCAAGTTGTTTAGGATATGTCTGAATTACTAATCCCATCTTCCATGTTCTCCTTGGGGTGGATTCCATCTCCAACATCAAGTCTTGTTCTTATAATATAATATATATATATAATATAATTTATTTACCGTCAGGTACACGGGGAGTGGTTGCCCAATCTCCCGAGCCGGAGGCTCATGATAAAAGTGACTGACTATAAAATACATTTACAAAGTCTGAAATTCTTAAATCTAAATTATTAGTTATCACGTTAAACTATTTACAAATGTATATTTAAACAGAAGCTACGTATACGCAGAAGTGTCAAAAGATTATAGACAGCTTTTGCATTGGCAGCCGGTAAAAATAAGAGTTTTCAGTTTTCTTCTAAAAGACGATAAGTTAGGGGCGATTTTAACAGAAGGTGGTAATTTGTTCCAGATGCAAGAGATGACAAATGAGTACGAATTGTGACGGAATTTGCTGTTGTAGGAATTTTGAGTTACGCTGAGGCCAGTATTTCTTAGGTTGTAGGGAGTAATTCGGGGTTCGAAGAGGTCGGCTAGGTAGCTTGGGCCGTTCTCTTTGTAGCATTTATAAAATATTATTAACGACTGTTCTATGCGTCTATGTTCCAGTGTGTTCATATCTGCTGTTTTAAGAGTTGATTCGTAGTTAATGCTTCTCCCCAAGTTCATTATTGTTCGGAGACCGTAGTGGTTTGCATCTTCTAACTTCTTATTAAGAGTTTTGCCGATGCCGATTAGTAGGGAATTACAATACTCAAAATGCGATAAAACAAAACTCCTATATAGAACTAGCAGTGTACTGGAAGGCACTAGGCGTTTAAGGCGGCGGAGTGCGGCTATCTTAGCAAATACTTTCTTTAACATCTCATTTATGTATTCTTGAAAAGATAACTTATTGTCAAGGTGAACTCCGAGGATCTTTAGGTGCTCTTTAATGTCGATAGAAGCGCCGTTAAACTTTAAGTCAAAGTGGTGGGTACTTTTGCCAAGGACCATTGCTTGTGTCTTGTCTCCGTTGGCCTGAAGATAGTTGTGGTCAAGCCAGGAGGATAGTCTTTCCATGTCTTGGTTTAGCGAGAACTGGAGTACAGTCGGGTTTTTGTCTGCCATATACTGGGTAGTATCGTCTGCGTAGAGACGAAGAGAGGAGTCATTTCCAGCTTCGTTCATGTCATTCGTAAAAATGTTAAACAAAAGGGGGCTAAGAAGACTTCCCTGGGGGACGCCACAGCGTATAGGTGTCCAATTGGAGCAGCTGTTGTTGCATATCATCCTTTGTTTTCGTTCGTGTAAAAATGATCTCAGTAGTTTGAGGGCTGTGTCGCGTAGACCATATGCCTTTAACTTTGCAAGCAGTAGATTGTGGCAGATACAGTCGAAGGCCTTGACAAGTCGATAGCAACCACACCCACTTCTTGCTTTTCGTCAAGAGACTTTCTCCAGTCATCTGTTAGTTTTATCAGTGCAGTAGCAGTGGAATGTCCCCTAAGGAAACCGGACATGTTAGGGGAGAAGGTAGGTAAAAATGAGGAGTACAATTGATCAAATAACACTTTCTCAAATAGCTTGGAGATGCAGGAAGAACACTAACTGGTCGGTAATTGTTCTTGTCTGAGGTGTCACCTTTTTTGTAGATCGTGGAGACGTTACTCATTTTCCAGCTGCTAGGCAGGGTACTTGTCCGAATACAGTAATTAAACAGAGTCGTCAGTGGGTCGGCTAGAGAAGGAGTGGAGAGTTTCAAGATCTTCGGAGAAAGACCATCATGTCCGGTTGATTTCTTTACTTCTATTTTTGATAAATAGACAGTTGTGGTTTCCGAGTTTATTTCTGTAAACGAGAAGTTTAGCGGATTAAGTTCGCTCTTGATTGTCGCGATGCTCGGATGGTCGATGAAGTCTTCCTCGGAAAGATTTAAAACAGATTCCGGGATTCTTGGGTTCACAAAGGACTCATTTAGTGTGGCACAAGGATTAGATGCTACTTTTCCGTTATCAAGTAGGAAGATGTCGTTGAGACTATCGCCACTCGAGTTGTTATTTGGAAGAAGTGGTTTCATTTTTTTCCAAAATAGACCGGGACATGATTTTGTTGAGGCGGCATTGGTGCAGAAATCTTTCACTGCTCTTTTCTTTAAAGCTGTAACTCTGTTCCTTTGTACTTTGTAGTTGGACCAGTTTAAGTCGGTTGGTGTGCGACGAGATTTTTTGTAGAGGCGGTTGCGTTTGCGGATTTGCATCTGGATATCTGGGCTGATCCATGGAAGCTGGTTATTACGGAACTTTATACGTTTCACAGGCGCGTGATCGTCAAGTATTTGTTTATACAGATCAGACCAGTGTGACCAAATGTCGTCAATGTTGTCATAGATGTAAGAACTGTCCCATGGGGCACTGCTAAGATCAGAGAGGAATGCATTCTGATCCAAATTCTTGAGTGTTCTAAACTCAATTGTTCTGGCTTTAGGCTTCGGTATCTTTTGTTTCCTGACAACAAAGATAAGGTCGTGGTCACTTATTCCCACTTGTAAAGTTCCGCTTTTCGCTAATCTCTCAGGGTGTGATGTTAAAACAACGTCAAAAAAAAAAAAAACCAAAAAAAAAGTATGGAAACGAACTATAAAAGCAATCATGAAAATGCCTGTCTAAAGAGATGTGTTTTAAGAAGTATTTTAAAACAATTAAGATCCTTTACTGTCCTTATATTTGATGGCAATCTGTTCCAAAGTTTAGGAACAGATGCCATAAATGATCTATCGCCTAAAGTTTTCTTAGTTATGGTCCTGGGTGGCAATAATTGTAGTTTAAACTGAGATCGTAACATCATACGTCCGAATTGTTGCTTAACGTTAATTAGATCCGTAATGTACTGAGGTGCCAGCCCGTGGATTGCCTTGAACGCTAAAATAAGTAATTTGAATTCAATTCTGAAACAGACAAGTAACCAATGCAATGCATATTGTGTGAAAGAGGCCCTAGATCAGGAATTCTAACTCCATTTCTAGAGAAAATGAAAACAACAAGAAGAATTAACCTACAAGCATAACTTCCATTGCATCTGTTAAATGTGCTCTGGCTCAGCTCTTAAGAGAATTCCCCAACACAGATATCCTCGCTAAAAGGTGAAGCTTTTAAAGGAGCAATGTTTGCAATTCATTGATGATCTTTGAGAACTCCTAATTCCAGATAAAAAGTCATTATAGTTCCTTTTTCTTCACAGACTTGATCTGTCTTCTCCTCGTCCTTTTCTACTGCTAACCAGGTGTTGGTAAGTTCTGCCTCTTCATCGTTTTCGCACAGATCAACCACAGAGTCTACACCTAATTCTCAGAAGAAATCCAGTTGCAAATGGAGGCAAAGGCATTCAACCCTGATGCAATTTGCTTTAAAGTAAAGTTCCTTCCTTCTCCTAATAGGGAGATCTTTCCTCTGGCCAACAGTAGCATATTTACTCATGTATACATTGCACTGAAATCGTTCAATAAAAACGAAAGTTTAGCACTGCAAACGGCAGCAAAGCTGTGTATAAAACACTGATAAACTCGTGGCCTTCAAAAACAAATAAAAAATAAACACAAATACATATAAATAATTAAGTAATTAAAACTAGGTGGTTAAAGAATTAAAATATTAATTATCTTAGCATTAGTATAAAATATATGATAATAAAATAGGATAGCCAAAGCTAAGTAAAGTGATGAACATCTTTATAGGACTTCAAAAAATACTTATATAAAGACTTCTTTAAAATTTCTAAACTAGAGCTACTCTTAATTCCATTGGGAAGTGAATTCCAAAACCTAGTGGCTGATACTTGAAATGTCCTAGCACCTTCTGATTCTCTTTTATACTTAGACAAATTAATTAAAAAACCCATATCTACTTTGTCTTTCGGTAGCACACATGTCGATGTTTCGTCTGAGTAATTCTAACATATAGTCGGGACACACTCCGTTCAAATGTTCATTTAAATTATCAACAGATGTAGAAACCCACACACTGGAGCCATAATTATTTGTTTTATCATGGAATTGTAAGAAAGAATTTGTTGATCTAAAGGTAAATGATGCCTGATTTTTTTCAAAAAAGCAATACGCTGTGTTAGCTTCTTACATAGATTATCAATATTCTCATTAAAATTAAGCTGTGTCAATAATTACGCCTGACAGTTTTTGAGACTGGACTTATTCGAGTTCAACTTAGTTGACATGGACAGTGAGTGAGGTGCTGTTCGTCTTCTTATGTAGGCGTTTGCCAGCTACTAACATAGTTTTAGTTTTGGACTCGTTAAGTCCCATTTTATTGTCTGTGGTCCATTGTGCAACTTTACCAACGTCAGCTTGAAGAAGTTGATTTAAGGCTGTCAGTGCTGATATATATTTAATCAACATTAGCACTGGTGGTAGTATCATCTGCATATATGTCTGCTGCTGAATTTTCCAGTATCTGTGGTAGATGGTCTATAAATATAAGAAACAAGACTGGTCCTAGGATACTCCCTTGAGGTACTCCAAGGTTTGCATCATCTCTGAGAGTTGACAGACAACCATCGATGTTTACATACTGCTTGTTTACATAATAATAATGATAATCATCAGCAGCATCAGCAGTATCATCATCAGCATCATAACTGATCATCTAAGGTCCACGATTTGGACTTGGTGCTTCAGAAACTTAACATGTAAGCCAAGAACTCACATTTCTATGATGAAGATGATGACGATAACAATAATAATAACAATAACCCAACAGCAGCTCATGATATTTGTCCATTCAATGTATTCAAGCAATAAATAACATTGAAAGTTGCAAGTTATAAAAGTGCTAAAATTGATACAAGTAATTAGGTAATACAAATAATACAATATAACATAATAAGTAAAAATTATGTAACTAAGTTATGCACCATAATTATGGGCTAACAGACAGTTTAAATGCTGTTCATCGATATCTGAGATTCAGAGCCTACCTGGGAATATCACTTAGCCAGGGAGAGAGGAAGCTTTTCAATTTTTTTTTCTGGTTCCGCTGGAGGGCATGCTCTGTTAGCAACACTTCTTGCCCTGAGAAGCACATAAACAAAACAGTAACTAAAATTAAGCAAGGTTCACAGGTTTGAAAGACACGACATAAAAATCCTGCCTAGCCAGATGCAAGCAGTGGGTTAGGGTTAGCAGTGACAAAGAAGAGTTTTCCCAGTGATAGCTGCAATTTACGCCTTGTGAAGGTGGAAAGGTGCAAAAACTCCGCAAGAAGTTCCAATAAACGATAACTAGGTACCTCTGAGAGGAATTGTTACGTATCTATGAGAAGCCCCAGGAAAATCGTCCATGTAAAGGGAGGACAGTCTTTTTCGGGAGATGATTGTAGACCCCGTTTGCCAAATAACTCTTTAATTTGACAGGGCAGATGAACGCATACTGAAGAGGCACCTAGTATCAAAATGCAAAAAACTGTCCCAGCGAAAGCCAAGATATTTGTAGTCTTTTGGATTGATTGGGAATTCCTGGTATGCTCGTTTTGTCTTTCTTCTATATGTAAGGAGCAGTTCCTTTCTTTATAATAAATTCTGGCAACCAATCGATTCCAAACATAATCCAGATGCTGCATATTGGAAACATAGATCCATCACAACGTGCCATTTGGAGGAGATGCATTTGTGAACTGTTTGTAATGGTGACATGACAAGATCATGAGGTAGAGGATTCTGTTTGAAAGGACTGGTAATATGGCTGACTTTCGTAGGTCATGGGTTGTGGGTGGAAGCTGTGGGTCGTGGGTGTGGGTAAAAGTCGTAGGTATCAAAAAAATCCCTCAAAAATTTTTAAAAAATAAAAATAACACAAAAGGAAACATTGATATAAGCAAAAAACATCTCATAAACTATGGCGTGCAGACTTCAAACACACCTCAATGAGCAACTCCACTGACAACTGCACCACTCATCCAGCATTGCAGGCTTAAGTCCAGCTTAGAGATGAGCTGGCTAGTGCAACTTTTGGATATTTTATTGGCCTAGATGACCATTTTACATTTGATTGCATAATTAAATTGACATTAGCTTGCCGTAGAAGGCTTGTTCCGCAGCCTAGTGGACATACTATTCTCTTATTAGAACAAAGGGAAGCAGCCTGCTCCTCTAAACATTCCCTTGTTACTTTCCTACCGCATTCCTGGCAAGGGACCTTGTGCTTTGCATATTAGGAAATGTATGCTGCCATCCCCTCCCTTGCCACCACCTCTCCACACCCTTCATTTGCACACTGGATTGTGAACTTTCCATATCCTTTTAAGTGTTGCTTGTGCTCGTGAAACGTCCCTGTCATAGACAACCACTACTTTCACACTTGACATCAAACTTTCCTATGATGTCGTTGAGTGCAATGTTGACGTGAAGAGTACCTATTCCGATGGGAGCCTTGCAAAGTGGGCATTTGGGGACAGTTTCAATGTCTATGAGTTTCACCAGGCAGTGTCGACAGCCTGAATGTTCAAATGCTAGAGTCACAGGCTTCACCATTGTTGATAGGCTTCAAAGTAAAAGATTACATTACATTAGTACATTCCCTCTCAAAACTAGTATTTATACATCAAGTAATGCCCTTCAAAGAGGCCCCTGCTAGCAAGGAATTCAGTTCAAACAGCTACAATCGTAAAAGTTGTTGAAGGAAAGTGGAATTTAATCATGGAGCAATGATTCATAACTCGGAGTTATAACAAACACAAAACATAAATCTAGTTGGTCAAATTCCTGTCATTTATTCCTGTCATGTTCTGTCAAATTCCTCTCATGTTAGAAAGACAACTGGGGAAGTATAAACTATTTCAGTTGGAAGCAAATGGCCTAATCATTTTTTAACCCTCTATTAGTCATGGGTATGTTATTTAATATTTAAACCTTTTGTCTTTTATTGCTAGAAAAATATTACAAATTCACTTACAATCTCTTTTTCCCAGGAAGTGCTAATTTATTCCCACAGTTTAAAAGATTTGCACAAAACATTTCAACGAATATCTAAAGTTGGGGAAAACAACGAGACCTAAAAATTGGAGAATTGCTTCCTCAAGCTATCTCCCATAACATTGCCATTTCTTAACCTAATCCACTGAGCATCTTCTCTTGATGCGCAACAGTGAAAATGATCAATTGCAGAAGGATAAAAATCATCACAATGGAAACAAAGAGACTTTCCATACACAACAGTTAAATAGCATGCGGGGAGAAAAAGTAAACTCAAAATGCGCATGAGTCATAGCAATTATGGCAATAATCATGTACTGTAAAAAGGGTTGGTGTTGTTCATCATGGCGAGTATACTATGTTCTAATAAATTATCACCAACGAGTCCACTCCTTACAAGTCTCCCGTCTTGTGGAAACTTTTCAGAAAATTCCAAGTCACAGCCATAAAACTTTTTGTCTTGTGAAGTCTTACCAGTCTGTACCTATAAGGGGAGTGACCAGAATGCCACCTGTGCAGCTGGCTGAGACACATAAGGGTGCACCGAATCCATTGTGTGGATTAGTTCCTGCTGGTTGTCGGTACGAAAGAGGCTGATCACAGATGTTTGGACTAGTTGTAGCTGCTGCAGAGGGTTGAAGGTTACTCAAAGTAGACGAGAGTTGTTGCTGTAGCTGAAAATTACTTGCATTGTATAGAAACTGACTTAAGGTGCCTGGATCAGACAAATGGCGTGAGGGATCTCTCATCGCTAATTTACTGGCCCACTGCAAGTCATGTGCGGGAATAAAATGATAAGAGCTATTAACAAGTAGCTTGAGTATACTTCAGGAATCTGTTTGAGTTGAGACTGATCATCTGTCACATCAGTTGTGTTTTGCAGCTGAGTGAGTGGCATTGGTGTTGAGGCGAAAGGTTGTTGCATGAACATGTGGGCATCTTGAGGGCATGTGAATGGTTGTTGTGAGGAGCTTCGTTAATTTTTTTTCCTTCGCATTCCTTTTGCTGTACTGTTTCGTTATTTGCAGGTGGTGGCCAAAGTTAAGGTTGATTTGGAAATCACTTAAGGAGACAATATCTTTTTAGAGTTGCGCTGCCCTGGCTAGTTTCTGAAGGTGACTTCTGGCTTTCTTTTACTGGAAAGAGGGGCCTCGCCTAAATGACATGGAGCTTCCCTTTTCAGTAGCCTTTAACTCAGCAGTGAGCAAAATACTGTCTTCTGCAACGATCTGAGCTGCGTTTAATAGAGGAAGGTTGGGGGAGTCACAATTGCTTCATCCAGCATGGATTACCTTGGCCATGCTCATTTTGGGTGCATTCTTGGGTGTGAACACACTGAAAATAAATACTCTTTGACTGTGCCATCACTTAATCTAGGAATTTAGAAATTGCAGCTCAGACTTTGCTTCAATAAATTCTTTCAGATTTTTTTTTAGTATTGAGTTAGGTTGTCTCTAAGTTAAAAGATAGTGTTTGATCGAAAACCTTTCCATTGCCATCATTGAGTTTCCTTGCCACTATATTCCTGCTTTCCTTAAAATGAAATTCGCAAGTCTTGTTGCATGTAAGGATGTTGTCTCCAAACACCTTTTGCAAGCTGTTCATGTTGGCACTAGCCACGTTCATACACCAGCCTTTCAAGGTGACGTAATTTCTGCGTCACTTTACTTTCCCGTCAAAGTAACAATACTCTTCCTGTAGAAAGTGATACCCGTCCTTGTTCATCTTCATAGCAATATCCATTCTTTCATGGCTCATCTTAAAAAAGAAAATAAGGGATGTCTGTATTACCAAGACTGTCATTGACCTTGTTCAATAGAAGATTATCTTTTTCATCGCAGTATAATTTAAAAGTTACAACAGCCTCGAAGTTTTTGCTGCTGGGATGAATTTCTTTCTTGGCATTTTGTTTTTGGTTCAAGATCCACTTTCTGTCAATAATAATATATAAATAATGATAATAAATGACAATTTATATAGCGCCCTATCCAAAAGCTCTAAGGCGCTTCAAAATCAAAGTAAAAAGATAAAAATAATAATCAAACGTAATCATTCATAAAAATAACGCTTAAAAAGATAAGTTTTAAGACTACATTTTATGTATTCAGGAATGTCATTCTCCACAGCTTAGGTGCAGAGACAGAAAAGGCGTAATCGCCATGAGATTTCAACTTGGAGTGAGGAATCACTAACAAGTTCCTACTGGATGATCGTAAAAGTCTAGTAGGCTTACAAGTTTCTAACAAGTCACTGATATAACTCAGGCATTAATTATTTAAAGCTTTAAAAGTAAAGAATAAGATTTTAAAAATAATCCTGTGCTCTAGGGAAAGCCAGTGCAGTTCCCTCAGTAAAGGAGTAACGTAATCATGCTTGCGACCACACAAGATCAGCCGTGCCGCACAATTCTGGGCTAATTGTAGTCTATGAACTAAATGTTTTGGAAGACCATAGAACAATGTCCACTATTTTTGCTGCTGTGCTCTTCATCGTTCCCAAGTCTTCCCTCTTCTCAATGATGACATAACTAAAGGAGACTGTATTTCACTTGGTGTTAATTTGGAATTTTTCTTGAATATTTCTTTCACTTTTTGTTTTGGTTCTCCTGGCTATGACAACAGTGGGCATGTGTGGGTACCCAGGTGAAATACTCTGATGCTCTTTTTGCCTTCCTTTATGTATCACCTTGTGGTGTAAGGTACATATTCACCTACCATTTCACAGATGTGACCCATTCAGCATCATTAGGATCCCCTTTTGCCTCAATGACCCTCCTCTTAGCTTCTTTCTCCACCTAGTATTAAAAACATGTGGTTCAATGAATAATACATTTATTATAGTAAAACATCAAAAATTAATTATGGGTTCTAAAATTATGTTGATTGGATAATTAATGAAGTTAAACTTGTTTTAAGTACCTGTTCTTTTGACAATTGTGCTCCAAAAGCTTCTTCACTTTTCTGCTTCCTTACAAGTTCTGCAACGTCTTTTGCTTGCTCACTAAATGCCCACCTGAACTCACCCTTTTTTAGAAAATGTATAATAAATTTCCTTGAAGGGTTTGAAGACATGATGATCCACAGATAGCTGTCAAGATGAAATAAGTAATATTGTGACTTGAATACATCAAAATGCATCCAATCACAAGAATTGCCTGCCATCTCTTTGTTTACCATATCTTGATTCATCTCTACTAATGCTGCCTTTAACTCGTTACTAGTGCCAACGAAGTTTGTTCCTTGATCTGACCTCAGTTGTCTCACAGGACCTCGGTGTCCAATAGAACAGCGATAGGGATTTAGGAAGGAGTCCGTCGTAAGTGATGCTGCTGTTTCAAGATGTACTAGAAGGGACAAAACGCCTGTCAAGAGGACTCATTACATCATTACATGTAAAATAGAAACAGAAACGTTACGTTCCGATGACATATGTTGATTACTGCACCAGTTTGTACAACATTCTCGTGTCAAGCTGCAAAAATTTTATTTTCTTTTAAGGAAAAAAAAGCTGTCAAGTATTGTCTGCTTGAGCGAGATGTCACGCATTTTGCTAAGCAAAGTGGCCACTTTGCTTGTAGCTTCAATGAGTTCCTCATTCCCGTGAAACTCAGCAAATGTAGCAAAGTCATCAGCATCTGCTAATGCTTCTCTCACCAACTGAAAGTTTGGTTCACAAAGCAGAGGGCCAAATTAATCAGCTTCATCGCATGCAACATTTGCATCCTCATCGCTTTTGTCTGGAATATTGGATAGTTCATTCCTTACTTCGCTTTGACTTCTTGCATTATTTACAGGAATCAGTGCCGGGAGCAGGGAACAGAGTGATTGTTGATGTATTCATCTAATGTCACTGGGCTTTTCTCACTTTGGTGTTGCTGACTTTGCAACATACTTTCCCATGTTTAGTGTGGTACCCATAATTTTTTGCTCTGCCTGACACAAACTCCGTGATATAATTGTTATCATCAAGCTCGTTGATCATGTCACCCAAATAATCTCCCAAAGGGATCTCACATTGACCAGGTTTACATGAATATATCATGGAGTCTATGTCATAATAGAGGACTCGGTCTCCTGGTACTTCTAGTGATTTGTACAGCTCTAGGCGTGCCTGCCAGGCCTTGAAGGCAGCCGCATAGATGGTAGTGCGTCAACCCTTGTCCGCGTTGTCAGAGGTGGTTTTATAACTTCTCTTCTTCTACTTATAACCTCTATCATGTCTACAGATAGAATCTGTATCCCCGTACATCTTTCAGGGGGTTTGCGATAATGCTCAACAGTTCAAAGGCTTCAGTCATTTGGCTGACTTTGGTCTTGTTTAGTGATTCTCTGAACGTCCCCAAAAACTGTTCAACATTAATTTTGTGGTAGTCTTTGGCCCTGGGTTCTTGGATATTTGGCCTCTTTCCAAATCCATACCTGTACAAGTAAACAAAACATTCACTAAACATTTTGTTTCACGCATTTTTCCTTAGATAGAAAAACAAATACACCCCTCCTTTCTCCAGATAACGTTCTAGGTACTCCCCCTGCTTCTGTCAAAGGACCATTGGGTCAGGTTCTGTGGCCACTACTGTAACCCAGGAGGGCCAGCCACCTGACTCCTGTTTAATTTGGAGCCAGATATTGACATAGGAGGCAAAAAGTCCACTTTTTCTCTGCTGCTCAGGAAAGTGATGGACTTGATGTATTTTGAGCATATGATACCTCATGTTCAGCACCTTCATGATCTCAGGAGTACACCATGTACCATGTAACATACGCATCTCCTTGGAGTGTACACGGTGTACCCCTCGATCGTGAAAGGGGTTTGGCTGACTTCTCCTTCACGCATGATCTTCACAATAGAAAGGTGAGTTTCCCCTTATGACAAAGTGGCAGAACGGGATTAAACAGACCAGGTGGTGGCAAAATATCAACAGACATGCTACCATTGTATGAAGAGGGATCTTGCTCCTCAAGGTTGTAGATGATGGTTGAGCGACCAATAGGATAGGTCCCTTATTAATTGACCCAGGGGCACTCTGAAATCACATTCACGTAGGGGATTTCTTCCTCCAAAGTGTTTTCAGAAACACGGTATAGGGACATCACCGCTGTTCGGCCACCTAAGAAAGCATCATGAGGATTTAGAGGTGGTACCCCGCAGAGTTTGGGTATAGTCTGAGATGTGGAAGTTGGCATTGATTTGGGTGTGCCATGGACACTCCCACGCCTCAACAACTCTATATCCCCATTCCTTTAAGGTGGCAGTCTTCTCATTTGTTTCCTGGTAAAGGGCCTCCATCATCCTGTCCCCAAGATTCCAAGCAATTTGTTTGCAAACAGGGAAACAGTTACAACACCTGTGCCACAAACGGCCATGAAATTCATTGACTGTTTGCGAAATGGGGTCAGAACCATCCACAAACATGGGTCTGTGTCTGGCTTCCTGACCAGGGGGTTGAATGATGTTTTGTTCACCACCATTTCCTACATGTAGAATGGCTGCCATTCCATCCTCTGGGTTGTTTGACGGCCTTGGTCTTGGGGGTGAGATGAAGCTTATGCCCGTGCCGACGACAGGCTGTGGTGATGGTGATACACTTCTCAATGAGGTCAAAATCAGCTTTTACCCAGAATTCAGCTATGAACTTCTGATCATAGCAATCATCTTGTTCTTCACACTAAACTCAATACTCATTGTCACTTGGTTTGTGTGCCAGGATGCAAACCCAGCTTTTTTCCTGGCTGCCATACCCCCCAGATCATAGTACTTGACTTCTGGAATAGGTCTCGCATAGGTTTGGTTTTCAAGGCGATTAAACAAATGAGAGAAGTATCCTCTTTTTGAGCTCAGTTAATCCGAAGGTTGCAGGAAAGGAGGCAAGGGCCATTGGTAAGAAACATTATAAGTCCTTGAAGGTGATGGCACCCACGGACATTGACTTGACTTTTGTTCAATTGGTGATTATGTTGTCGATGACGCATTTCTGTTTGGTGAGTTCTTCCTGGATAAACATTCCATCATACCCTTTGAAATTGTGAAATACACATATCACTTTTCGGTCTTCACTGAATTGGTTGATGGTATGCTCATTCAGGAAGTCAAGGAGCTCTGCACTACAGTTGTCACCGGGAAACACACGTTGGTGGTTGTCTTCAACTGTCTTGGCACAGATGAGGATGGGGTAGTGGACACTGTTTTCATCAATCATGGCCTCATTCTGGATTGGAGGATCTTTATAAGTACTTGCATTTGGTTCGATCTTTTATCTTTCTTTTAATTTTCTTTTATATATATTTTTTGGGGTTGAAACACTTTAAACATTTCTGAAGAAACTTGTGGATGCCTTCATCTTTGTGGATAGCCAGATAATGTAGGTCTTAAAACTTCCTGTTATAATCTTCACAGGTGATGATAGGTATCTGTTCACTCTTCGGTCTGCAGATTCAGTCATTACAGGCGGGGCATCTACACCCCTCAGATGGGTGATGGCGGAACTTTTCTTGGTCATGACCACAGTTGTATTCGTGGCAGAAATACGACTTTTCCAAAAAAGTTATATACAAAATGCAACTGTGGAAATAAGTATCCTCTTTGAGAAGCAGGATCTGATTACATGCTGTTGGATCTTTGTACACAACCATGAAGGGATAGTCCACGGTTAACACCTTAATTTTGTATGTGAAGCAGAAATGGTTTGAAATTTTTGAATCTCATTCAATCTACAGGGACCTTCAGGTACACCTGTAAAAAATGAAAATGAAGTTTACTAGTAATACTAACAGTACAATATAAAATAGATTTTTTTAAAAATACATACCTGCGTCCTGATGTAACTTGTGGGCTTATCACAGTTGGACATGAGGATAAAGGCGTATGTTTTCATAATGGTTCCAGGTCATATAATTCTTGTCTTTATGCAGATGAGCCATAGTAAGGATGATGGCCCAGGCACAACATAGTTGGTCTTCAGGGTTCTTTATTTGAAGTATGCAATGTTTGTTCTGTAAGAGAGTCTGTTTAGCTTTCTTCCCATGATTAAAATTGGATTTTGATCTTGGCTTCCCATCTGGTTTGGGAACCTTTGTTATGGTTTGATCAGTTTATTTTAAAGGTTTCACGTTTGAAACAAATACCATGTAAAATTTATCATTACAGCTTAGTATTAGATAAAAATAAAATTTTAATTATTGAAAAATTACTTGAATTTAACTTCTTGGCCAGGGATACTAGATATGCGTTAAAACGTTCCAAATCCACACGCATTTCCCCCACATCAAAATTGGTAGATTGTAAATTCGTTGGACTGCATATTTAAATGCACATGGTGATGCGGTTCTGCATCGCAAAGAGTGTCACATATCGACCTATAACAAAAATTGCATCACATTCATTTCTGTTTTAAATCCATAAGGAATCATTTTAGTTAAGTGAGTGAATATTTAATTTCTCTCGGTTTTTGCTAGGTTTGCCCTTGCATCTCTCTCGCTTTTTTCTTGGTTGTCTCTCAGTTTTTTGTGTTCATTGTATTATCTCTCAAACAAATGATCCTTTTTTCAGTCATAAATATTCTATGTCACATAGCGTTGCATGATTTAATGATTCCTGTCTTACCTTTCCACGTGGTGGTGCACAGTTGTCTAAGCGCAGCAGAATATTTTTTGTTTTGAAGAATATTCTTCCACGTACGTTGGGATCCTTGTGGGGTAAACTGTAATTCAAATGAGGGAGCCTTTGTTTGTTCTTCTTCTATGGCTTCAACGGCTTCTGCAATCGCTATCATTTCTTCGTCCCTAACATCGTCATGGTATGGACTTTTCGTGACCATATTGTCTTCTTTGTACTAAAAAAGCGGGAAGATGTTATCTCAAAGTCAGTTAGGTGCAACTGCTGGTGTAGAATAAAGCAATACTTGTGAGTTTGCTTTTATAGACATTATTCTATGAATTCTGAACATGATCAGGCAAGGATTGGATTTTGCCTATGTTATGCTATTGGCTTTTGGACAAGTTTGGGAAAGGGAGGGCATGTATGGGCAGCTTTGCAAAAATTTTGATTTACAAGAAATGTTTATTAAATAAAACCTCATTTACAAATGGGACTTATGTTCTCCTTTGTGGAGAGCACCCAAGATAACAAGAACTACATACAAGAGTAAACTTAAAAAGTCGATATAACATGATTTACAAAATGTGCCCTTGCAACAGTTTCTTTTTTGCTGTTAGCTAAATAAACCATTACCTCAGGTTTTTTCTGTTGGTCGTCCCCAAAAAGATGTATGATGAAGAATGGTTCTAAAAGGAAACAAATAATATCTATTAGTTTGTATAAAAAATCTAATTCGTGAATTGACCTTATTTACTTACGAAATTTGTTCAGGTTCAGCCATCATGGTTCTTCTTTTATGCAAATTATTCAACTGAAAAATCAAGTGTACTTCGAAATTAAATACTATGTATTTTTATATCAAACCATCTCTTTATTTAATATTCACTAACAATCTCAGTTGGTAAATGAAATGTAGGGATCCTTTCGTTGATTAAGAAATGGTATTCTCACCCTGGAACACTGATAAGGCAAAGAATTTGAAAACGTTTGTAACCAACGCTTCGCGTATACCAAAACATTCGCTAATGATCCAACTCTTTTTTTTATCTTTTTCTTTAATTAACAAAAGATACTGTATTGTTACCATGAAACACTTATACGGCAAAGAATTCGCAAACGTTTTGCGTGTACCAAAACGTTAGCTAAGCAAACCAATGTTTTATTTTACCTTTTCCTTTAATTAACCAAAGATACGGTATTGTTACTCATTGAACATTAATGGCGCAAAAGAATTAAAAAAAAGGAATCTACATGTTTGTAAATGACGTTTCGCGTATACCAAGACTTTAGTTAATAAACCAGTGCTTAAATTTACCTCTTTCTTTAATTTACAAAAGATACAGTATTGTTACCCATAGAACACTGATACAGCAAAGAATTCGAAAACGTTTGTAAACAACGCTCTGCATGTACCAAAACATTAGCTAATAAATCAATTTACCTTTTTTATTGAATAAAGGAGGCAGTATTAAATGGTATCAGAGGACCTTGAGTTTCTATTGTGGTTACAAAATCAGAATTGTTGGTGATGCAATGACAAGGTCTATGCTTATCACATAAAAGAAAAATATGATTTGATTTAGTTACCGCTATTATTTACCGGTAAGTTGTGGAGGTGTATTTTACTACACAAGGAAGAAATGTCTGGAAATCGCTGAAAACAATAAGCACCCTGTTATCTTTGATGGCAACATGGCCTTCAACCAAAAAATGAAGAGATAATTGAATACTGTACGATTTGCCTGATGATGGTTGATACTGATTTGCGGAATGCCACCACATGTGGTATTGCAGCGTGAACGTATCAGGGTCTTAAAAGATAAAGGCTCCATTAGAGTAATTATCCATGAGAAGATAACATGAGAAGTGAGTATTCTGAAAAGTTTCAGTGAGCTTGATGTGGGTTTGTTAATCGAGAATTTTAAGAGTTGAGGTCCTTTGAATATCTCTGTGCTAAGAAAAACAGTGTGTTCAGGTGACATTTCAGAAGTAAACTTGATTGTGGGGTGGAATGAGTTGGCGAAGTCTACAAAAATAAAAATTTCCTCTATTGGAATGTTCCACCTCTTGCAGATGAATGGTCTAAGTGGACTAGCTAATACCAGTCATTTCTCTAGGTCTGCCAAGAAAATAACAGAAAAAGTGACTGCCATTTTAGTTCCCATAGCGTTTCCGTGAGTTTGTATGAAGTGTTTTTTATTCAAATTGAGAGAATTTTCTTTAAGCATAACCTACATTAGTTCCCATAAATCACTTGTAGGGAAAGGTAATTTCTGCTCATAGTGATCTTTGTAATAGTGGCAAACAATATCAATTCCTTCTTCTTGATGACTGTTGGTGTAGAAAGACTAACATCAAGTGTGGTTAGGACCACATCATCTGGAATTTGCATGTTTTCAATAAAATTGAGAAAGTCCATAGTGTTTTTATATAGGACTCTTATTTTATGGCAATAGGTTGAGTCTACAAAACTAGATATATGTTCTGTTGGACCACTACTCCCAGAGACGATTGGTGTGTCAACGGGTGTTTTCTTACGGATTTTAGTCAGCATGTAAAATTCTGGTATACGTGGTTGTTTAAGGCTAATTGTGAGTCTTTTGGTTGATGTGTCCCAAGTAGTGTAGTTTATTAACCAGTTTGTTTACTTTTCGGGCGGTGTCTTGCACAATAGGTGATGGGAGAGGCTTGTGAGCATTGGTGTCAGTCTGACAGATTAACAGCCCACAAATTGAAGTCTGAAGCACTTAGGACTTTGAATCAGAACTTTATTGACCCCTCGCCACACTGAAAATACAGTAATGGTACCATTGAGTAAAAACTATCATCTAAATGTCTTGGGTTAACAAACGACAACAAGCTTTCATGGGCATGCTAAGAGCACATTGTGAATGTCTTTAAGTCGTCCTGCAAGAAAGTGGCAGTTTTAAAACAAATAAAGTTTTTACGGAGACCAATCTTTGAAACTGTTTATTACAAAACAATTATCCCTATTGTTTTGTACCTCATTGTAATTAGGGGTTTTTTTTTACAGTCTTAATGGATGATATTGATCGAGTTTATTTACTAGCAAACAGAATTATTTACAAACTACCCCATGGTATCCATTGTGATGATATCAGGAATGCTCTACACTGGAACTTTATAACTTCATTTTACATCAAAAGACTTTTAGTTATTATAATGTCCACAGCAGAAAACAGGCAAGAACTATTCCACAAAACACCTTTAATTTCGGTAAAACACAAAACTTGGTTACCACATGTGATCTTGCTATGTATCTCTTAAAGAAAAACAAATGCCCGGATCACTGAACTAAATAACCACTGACCTATCATGAACATTACGGTTATCACAAATAATATCTATTATGGAAACAGTGTCGAATCCCTCAGTGACTTAATAGTTAAACCTGAGACTACCTAACACTTTGCAAAGCCCTCAAGTGTCAAGATTCATAACCAAGAACTGAAGTAGGCAGATCTTCCCTCAAACACAGAGCTGCATTATCCTGGAACCTCCTTCCTGATGACATCAAAAACTGTTCTAACTTAGCTACTTTCAGGAGAAAACCTAAGGAAAATAGGAATATTCTAAAATCTACTCTTCCTGTGCAATGTGAAGATCATGAATTTGAACTTGAATGTGATCTTTGTTTTGTGGACTCTTGCAGAGAGTTTGCATGCCCTAGTAGTCTTTGTGCTAGTGCCGATCGCACGGGCAATGATTTCGACAATATTTCTCACTGACTACAATAGTGGCTGTGATTTAGGTTCAGATGGTAAAGATGATATGGAGTCAGAGCTAAGAGATATTGAAGCAGACAGACAGAAAATGGGATGCTCCATATATCATTTGAAACAACTTTCACAATGGGGTAAAGATTTGCATAGAAGTGGAAATAAGGATGCTGCTGTTCACTAGCCAAAAAGTGGTGTGATATACAAACTTTACTGAAAGAACTGGATTTTTCTGAACCAAAACATTACCGGATTTGTTTTGGTAATGACCGTTTAAGTCAATATGGATTATTGCAATCAAGAGATGAACCTTGACCCCATTGTGGTAATTCAGGAATAATCCCATACTACTTCTTGGGCCTATCAGATGAAGTAAAAGAACTGGTACTCCTCTCCAGAAATAAGCCAGAAAATGACTGGCCATTAGTAGCAACGTGACCACTTGCTTCCTGATGAGTTGAAAGATGGTTGGGGGGCCAGTGAAGCATGAAATTGGGGATGGAACAAGGTTTGCAGAACTTGCATATGTTTGGGATCCAAACACAATTTGGACTCTCCTGGTCAGGTGCACTTATCAGAATAGTGGTAGAATATTTCAACATTTTCCAAGGGTACCACATGGAGATCCTCGTAACTTTGTTTATTGTGCTAAGTTGAGAAATTTTTTTAAAGATTGCTGACTTTTTTTGTACTTGTCCTTTTTTCCTTACATCTCTCTGAGGTTTCACTGAATCCAGAAATGCAATCCTACACACAGAGGTCCAATTAATGTTTCACAAGTTCTAGCTGATTGCATGTAGATGTAAAAATGTTTAGGAAAATAAAGGTGTGCGTAAAATCAGTCTCTAACATTTCTGGGGATATCGACCAGAAATGGGATTTGAAGTAGATTTAAGTTGATAATTTGTCGATGGACTCTAAATAGTTTCCTATAGACTGGAGTGCTTTAGTGTAGTTGGGTGACTGTCTGGTGTTGTGTAAAGGATTTTTACTTCCCTTGTACATGATTATTGATTGATAATTATATGTATATGTTACACAAAGTAATGGATACAAAGTCAATACAAACTGCCATACTGTATTCTGCTCTCCTCCACACAATCAGAAGGTCTCGAATCTAGTTACAAGTACCACAATCTCTTTCTTTTTTCAAAAAACAAACAAACACACAAACAATCAAACTACTAAAAGGTCCAAGAGAAAATAAACAGGAATCCTGGTGTACCTAAACAGGTGCTTAGACTTTTACTCCAGTAACTAAACGTTTTGCACTCTGTAAGTGAAAGTGGCCCAGTAGGCATGAGGCCAAAGTTCAACTGTTACACAGTTTCTTAGGTTGTTAAGACAGTACATAATCAGCTAAAGCTCTTGGGGGGCCAGCTAAGTCTTTCCGACTGCTGCGGGGCACACGTAACTCTCTCTCCTGAGGGAGTCATTCCAGGACAAGACTTGTCAGGCACTTTCAAATTTGAGTACCAAGACTTCCTAAAGAAAACAAAATTGTAGACATTTGAGATAAAATTTATAAACAAACCAAAACATTTAAGGAGGACCAAGCTCTAACCTCAACAAAAATATTGTTTAATTTGAAGGCATATTGACCAATGTTCTTTCCTGCTGGCCAGGAAGTACTCATGACAGCCACGTATTCTGGACCAGTAACATTTGCAGTTAATTGCAAAACAACCATCGCTCTCTCGATGATGGTGTTCTTCTTAGGGACAGTGGATATGCCTGAAGCCCATTCCTAAGGACACCATTCACAACAACAAGAACTCCATCCCAGGAAGCTTACAATAGTGCACACACAAATAAATTATAATAATAATGGTTTATTAACAGTTTATCCACCTAATGGCTCTTTACCTGTTAAGAACTACAATATAAAATGGAAAACTGTAATATAAAAAAGTGTGAAATCTACAATATAAAAAGCAATAATACTGGACTATAAAAGGATATTGTATAAAAATGTAGCAGAGATTAGTAATAGAAATACAACCCTATATGCAATTTACGAACTATTTACAAAAGTTATTTTAGAGGCTAGTGGACAGAAACATCATCTATCTCTTTTTCAGGTTAAGTGCAAGATGGGAGTCATTAGACCAGGATCTCACAGTGTTTAGTGTGAAGTTTAGTTCTTGTGCACATCTTTGTAGCTCAGGAGCTGGACAGCAGGAGTATATTTTAGTATCATCGGCATATTGAAATGAACCAATTGAGGAAGGGAGATGATCTTGCAGATCAGAAACATAGAGGTTAAATAACATTGGGCCAAGGATCGACCTTTGTGGCACACCAAACCGTACTTTCACTGATTCAGATATACGATCATTGATCTGTACAAGATGTGAATGGTCACTCAAGTATCTATTCAACCAGCGCAGATATGGCTTAGAGAAACCAAGCATTGATAACTTAGTTATAAGTTATATTTTACAAAATGGTCATCTGAAGCACGACAAGTTTCTCAAAGATTTTTGATGGTGTGGGGGTAATTGAAATGGAATGAAAGTGTTCCTCAGACTTCAGTTGATCAACTTTAGGAATTGGACTGATCCTTGCATTTTTCCATGCCTCAGGAAAATTGTACTTCCTGATACAGTTGTTGATAATAGTTGTGATGGGGTCAGCAATGGATTCAGCCACCATTTTAGTGAATTTGACAGGAATACCGTTGGGGCAGGTAGATGTATCAGATCTTAACAATTTCAGTATACACAGGACCTTGCCGTGGAGCACTTCTCAGAGTTTGAAATTAGCTGGGCTATCATCAGGTAGAGATTCTATTGGTTCTTCAAGAATGGAAGATAAGTCACTACTAAAAGGTAAAGTTCTCTCGGCAGTACAAGCAAAGAATGAGTTTAACTTATCAGGATCCTGCCGTAAGGGTTGCTGGTTAGGTTTAAGTATGGGGTGGATAATACGCCACTCCTCCTTTGGGTTATAAGAGGATAACGCCTGCAATTGCACTTACCCATTTGTTGTCTTTAAAAAAATTTACTCAATTACATAATTTCAAATGCAATTTAGTGTGAACAAACACTCATAATTATTTCAAAGACCACAAATTGCACTGGCCCTACAGGCAATTTTGCTGTCTTTATTCATGCTTATTAACACCAAATTGCATTCAAAATCATTTCATTACCTAAACTAAATATGGTGTTTAAAGTAAATAGTTCAGTTTTGCAGGCAAATGGCTCAGAGGAAAAGGTCTATATTGTAAAGCTTTGTCAATGTGTAGAAAGTCAGGGTCATTGATTTTGGGCTGTTATTGTTCTTGACTGACACATTTTCCCTGGAAGCTTTACTAATTCTCAGCCAAATATTCATTTTTTGGACACTCTCAGATGCTGACATCATACATATACATGATAAAGAAGTAAATAAATTTCTTTACTTGTCTATTAAAACACAATATCTTTAATTATACAAAACATGGGCATTCTTTATTTAGATAAATCCTATGTACTTACAACTTTCTTCACTAATCACTAGTCTACACATCCTACTACAATCTGCAATGTTCTGCAAGTATTCACTGAAAATAAAGGGTTATACAAAAATAGGCTGTGCTACGCCAGATACGAAAAACCACTAAAAAACCACTCTTTAGAAGTGGCCAAAAACTATGTGGAAACGTATTCCTCATCTAATGCAGCAGCACTATACCCCGAGGAAAGGGTAACTAAAATAAACTTAGTTACACTACTAAATCACACAGAAAATTCAATGAAAGGAGTGATGTTTTACATAGAGTTGTAAAGCAAAATTACATTAAATAAAAAAAAAAATAAATAAAAGAAAGTGCCCCAACCTAAGACTGACCGATGTAGAATGACCTAATTTCCCCACGAAACGCTTAAATAACCCGAAACTACCATGATGCCATGCGAACCTCTCGAACGTGCCGTCAGAATATTAATTTCTGACTAATTCGTTCCCATGTCTCTCAAACGTCAGAAATCACATATTCTGACTACACTCAGGCGAGATATTCAATGTGAAAGTTTATTTAGGAGAAGTCAGCCAGTCTTGTAGTCAACACATCCTACTAGAGCCAAAGAAAGGAAAATATGAAGTTGAAGGTAAACGCTACAGAATTAAATACCTAACTTTTTTGACACTGATAAACGTGAACTCAAACTATCATCAACATAGACATTTTTGGCGGAAACAGATCTCCAACGCCCGTGCCTCTGAAAGACTCTGTCGGGAACACCAGCATTAGCTGCAGCTGAAGCACCACCAGCTCCTAAGGAATGTGTGCTGAATACAGAAATATCTGGAACAATATCCTTAAAGCTAGATTTGAAGTAATCTCTTGTACATGAGTAACTTAGCGGCTTGTTAACAGATACTAGTCTGTGACCTAATTTAAACTTGTACGACGCCCTAAAGACATAATGGTCCGCTTGAACTGGAAACTTTTCAACCTCTCTTAAATAACGCCTGAAATTGTTTACAGGGCAGGTAGCAATATTGGAGCTCTCTGAAATTACAACTTGGCTCCCTTTCCTAAGTTGATTTGTCTTACTTCTGACCACGTTGATAGTTAGGTAGTCACTATGAAAAGTAATGTCTCCATATCTAATATGAAGAACCTCCTCAATTCGGAAGAAACCAGCAAAAGCAAGAATAAAAATGCACACATTTCGTAATTCAAGTAAATTATCTAGGTTGGATTTTTCAACAAGTTTCCTCGTCATGTCTGGAGAAACTGGCTCTTTCCTATCAGTTACAAACTCGAGTTCCCATTATTCTCTTAGCAGCCCTGCTAACTGCCTGGATGATCGGGCTGTCGGTAGGGGAAGGTAAACCCGCCAAATGGTGTGCCCACTGTATTCGAAATATGGCAGAGTCGACCGCTGAGTGGGAATGGGTAGTATCCAGTAAATGCTGTAAGTATAACGCCACATGCTTTGACTTTGCAGGAAAAGCACAAATCTCCCTCTTGGAACTGGCAAACACTTTCCACCTCAGAAAAGCTCTCCTATAGGCGTCTGTGGTACCTGGTGCTCTTGACGCAATGACAGTTGACTCCAGTCTAGACGCAAGACTTCTCAGCGTCGGGTCACTCAACTCGTGAAGGCACTGCCACACGCCATGATTGAACACATCTGAAAAAGGGAAAAACAAACCAAAAAGGGGAAAGGCAAACAAGTAGTACGAACGATGGCATTTAAGATCTGAATGGGGTCGAGAATACGATAGTGAAGACACATTCGCTGGGACTGTAAACACAACATAGCTGCGCCGACTCCAGTCTAAGCTCTCCGAACAAGAAATTAATGGAGGATAAAAATCTCCGTAGCACCTAGGCTGCGATTATTATAAACCTCAATACCATTCGGGTCGACCATAGCGCGAAACAAGACATTCAAATGCTCTTGGTAACACCAAGGGGTACACATTTAATCTAGTACTACAACGTTGTGTCTCCCCACGCGAAAAACAAAGAAATGATAAAATTATGAAACAACTCTCTTAGCCACGGATGACGCAGATCAAAGATACTGCCAGGGTAAACACTTTTCTTTGTGGATTCGGGCACCGGGGGCCCCCAACATAAGCAATATACAAACCTAACATGATATGTGAGCCCATAACTGATTGCATCTAAACACACTAAGTATTTCCACACACTGCGATTTTTAGCAAGCAGCCAAACAATGGGAAACGTATAACTCCGCCAAGGAGAGTATGTCACACTAGAGCCAAACGCCACCGGGGGGCCACACAGGCTGCTTTAAACACGGCACACCGGGGGTGCATACAGAATAACCTGAACAATGTCTTAAAAGTACAAAATATGCATTATTTAACAACAACAACCAATATAATAGAAATTCAGTCAAGAAATGTAAACTTCGCTAGTCACAATTTTAAATACCCTAGACACCTCAGGATACTCTTGATCGGCAAGCCGAACAAAAGCCGTAAGGGGAGGTGAAAAAAACCCACTGAAGAACGACGACTGTAATCTGCAAAGTTAATACGAAGCGCCAAACATCGGGACTTGAATGCCTTAGTACCAAACAGTTTGTTCTTTGCTTTACCTTCGATGAGCAAATCCGGTTTGTTGGGGAGAAACAACCAATCCTTTACAAAAAAATTTAAATGCACACCATCATTACATAGTAACGGCCAAAAATACGCGGACTTCCACATTGGTACGATTAAAGAACCAACCGCCTTACAGTCTCTCATATCTCTCATATGACTTAACAATCTACCGACGAGTGTGATGGATGGAACAAGCCAGTTGTTTTCCGATGACCGATCCTGTGTAAACGCATCCACAGCTTCTGTGCCGAGTTGGAGGAATCTGGAGTTGAATCTTGGCAATTTGGTGTTATAACTGCAGGCAAATCTTTCGATCGAATGTGGACCCCAGCGGTCTTCGAGCAAGAGAAAAATGTCATTATGAACTGAACAATCGTCCAAGTCGACCATCTTACTCACAAAATCTGCGTACGAATTACAATCTCGTGGTACCCAAGAAACATCCAACTGAATTTGTTGACGCAAACATAAAAGAAAAAAATCCAAAGCAATGTCTTGCAACTCCTTAATCATGCTACCAACTTGAACAATTCTCACGACATTTTGACTATCTGTTTTGCAGCAAATTCTCCGACCAGCCAGATGATCTTCAAAGGAATCAAGGGCGAACGTTATGGCGACTAACTCCCTCCAGGTTGAAGATTTTAGAGATTTTTCGGTGGACCAATTTCTGTGGCAAATTAAGCTGGAACCTTTAAAGAAGGCTCCGCAGCCAGTGGAAGAAGCATCTGAAAATATCTCCTTAGACGGCACAAAAGGCTTCTGCCAAAAAGGAATTCCATTCAAGGATCTAAGATTGTCTCGCCAAAATTTAAGTTCCTCCTTCGCTGGATCAGTAAGAACGACCATTGAATTCCAGGAATGACGAGTATTGATAACTAGATTCAAGTATCTAGTCATGATTTGAGTAACATTTCCACAGCTAGGAGACATCGAAATAATTTGACCCACAATAGAAGCGATTCTCTTTACATGCACGAACGCAGACGCCTCTAAAACAGAACAAACCTCATTAAGGTCATTTAACAGTTTTTCCAATCTCACTGCACTTGCAAATATGAACCCCGTTTGAGTGTCAATATCATAGCCAATCCAAGAAAATTTTCTCTCGGGCTCCCAACTAGACTTTTCTTTGTTAATTTCGAACCCGCCCCTATGCCGTCATCAAAAAATAGAGCGATTGGAATTCCTTGTCCCCTCCAGTGGGCTTCCAAAGGTTTTAGGAGCTTTGTGAAAATAAGAGGAGCACTAGAAAGCGCAAAAGGTAAAACTGTAAATTGAAAATATCTGTCAACACCTGTGCCAAAATCCCACGAGAAAACCAAATATTTGCGATGGTCCGGAAAAATATCTACATGATGAAATGAGAATACAAAATAATTTTTGGATAAGGCACTCTTGATGGTATGTAGGCCTTCACACTTAAACTTCTACTTAAATATATGCAAATTGATATGCCTTAAATCCAAGATCAATCTCTTTTTACCATTAGCTTGAACAGAAACAGACAACGGATTGACGATATCCGGAGGAGAGATTATTTCCTCGACGCGATTGTCACGTAAGAGTTCCGAAATAGCCTCAGTAACAAGACCCCGTTCTTCCAGGGCGGATGAATTGTTCTTACAATGGTGAGGTGGCGGCGTAGAAATAAATGGAATCTTATAACCGTCTCTGATAACACTCAAGATAAAATCTGGTGCTCCGATGGAATGCCAAAACGCAATGGATTTAGACAGCTTCCCTTTAACAGAAACCTGTGGGATAACAGAGTCATAGCTGCCACCAGTACCTGGAGATTCAACCTCATGGTTCTCAGAATCCTGGACGAGACCTTGACGGGAAAGATTTTCCGAATCACACAAAGGGTTTATAACGGAAATGTCACACTTACTTTGTTCGTCAAGGGATTGATTCTTCAGTCATCTACGATCAAGATTACCTCTGGCGGCCCCTGAACGAGCAATCTGACTACATTCGGACCTCCAATGCCCGAGTCTGCCACAAGCGAAACAATTTCCAGGTCTTGATGGGCGATCAACCAAGGAGCGATTAAACAAGTTTAAACGATCACGCTGGCCACGCCAGGAACTGAGCTCAGAGGAAGCTCTTTGGCTCGGTGGAGCAAAACGTGAACTCGAAGGGCGGAAAACTGAGGAGACTTGCTTAGCAGTCTTTCTAGTGAAGGCAGACTTCAAAGCTTTCTCAGCTCTTTCTTCGGCGCGACGTATCTTCTTTCCATCATCTTCATCTTCTGCCAGCTCGTGCTGTGAATATTCCTCGACTGTTTTCCAACCAAATTCAGATTTATCTGCTAATAGAATTAACTTTTGTCTATTTGTAAGGAGTAACGTACCTTCTGTTAACAACTCCTTTGCTTTCTCAACAGCGTTTGTTTCAAGGTGTGTCTTCGCTTCCTCCAGGGAATCCTGCAGTTTTGAGATAAACTTGTACTGAATTTCGTTCCCTTTGCGTTTAAATGACTTCGGTTCTTCTCTTCTAAACTTCTTTACTTGTCTCAGTTGTTCGTCTGCAGCTTCGGCGTTAGCTCTTTTCAAATTTCCGGCTGAATCGCTCACTAGTTTAGAAATTTGTGTCAGTAATGCTCTATTATTCTCCGCTAAAGAGTTGCTGATAAAATCTCGTACTTCTTTTGTTACTGACATGGTTGACAACAATGGGTTAAATACTAAGAAGACTGTAAAAAGAAAGTGGCCCAACCTAAGATTAGTGAGCTAACAAGCCAACTGGGAGCTGGTCAATGTGTTGGGTCCTAATAAACGATGAATGATGATTTTAGATGTATGAAATTCATATATTTGCACTGCGGTGAAAAGATGAAATTGGCCTAGCCAAGTTGGCTTGTTAGCTCAGTTGGTAGAGCGCTGCACCGGTATCGCAGAGGTCATAGGTTCAAATCCCGTACGGGCCTGAATTTTTTTCAGGTCCTATTTTCAACTACTCGTTTCAGTAGTGTTCTTAGCTGCGAGGATCTCTTAATTTCATCTCTTCACCGCAGTGCAAATATATGAATATCATGTTTCTAAAATAAGCACGAGTAAATTTTTTGTTATCAGTTTGTTCAGGTGCACTTGAGTGATGATGGCAGTCGATCCAAACCGTTAGCCCAAATTTCTCCCAGACTCTCTCACTTCAGCCGCTGGATTTTCTACATGAGCAGTACCGTGGAACCGCCGAACAAGCCGCTTTGACTCACCAGTTGTGTATTCTACCAAAAATGCCAACTCGTCGCTTTCGGTGATGTTGACGTCTCTGGTCATATCTCCAGATGTTGTAGTTTTCTAAGCAGTTGTCAAATCTTTCGATTTCGTTAGTAACGAGCTCCCTTCTGGCCATAAACCGAACAAAACACTCCATACGATCAGCTGATTCAGGGGAAAGAGTAGCTTGAGCCAGGGAGGAAGGCAATGCTCAGGATCCAATACTTTGCGAGGTAGATGTTTCCTTTCTTCCTGACTAGGGTTGGTATCCAGGTGTGTTGAAGGGCGGGGTGAAGTCTCTCACATCGGTTGGTTCATCCTTAGGCCTTGTATCATGAAGTTAGTTATTGATGAATTCTTGAACCCACTTACTTGGATCTTCAGTAGGTTATAGTGACAAGTGGGGTTCGTACTTGAACCCAAGTTCCTTTGCGATGGTCTTTGCCCCTGCAGCTTCTACTGCTTGTCGTTCTGCTCGAAGGTATTCCAACTGCGCCTCCTCTTCGGGCTTCTTTCTTGAAAAAGAAAGTTCGTTCTCTTAGCGCTTTTTTTCCTCCTGTTCCATGTCCAGCGCGGCTCTCATTTTAAATTCTTTATCTTTCTTTGTACTTCTGCGTTTTTTTTCGTTTCGCAGCGGCCTCGGCCCTCGCCTGAACTCGCGACGCGTTCGATGAAATTGATGTGGAACACGTAGCCCGGAGCGCGTTGCTCCTTGTTCTTGTAGGAGGTCATTTTTCCGATCAATTACCTCGTTTATCGCTGCTTGAACTTATCCTTTGCGTGTTCTTCTTAATTTAGTTTTTTTAATCATGTTTGTGTTCAATCTTGCGCCTTTACGGCATTTCGCTGCTTTGAAATGTTGTCATGTCAGTATTAAGAAAAATTATTCATCACACAGTTCGGAGTGTTGGAATGACAGTAAATAGAGGTTTTTGTTGGGTTCGCTCCAATGTTTTTTATCCTCCCTAAAATGGCGGAAATTTGAATCCGAATTTCTGTTCCCAACTACAGATACTAGGCTCTTATTACATCGTGCGAAATAAGGCGACTGAGGGCGTTTTGCATTTACCAAAATGTAAGAACATTTTGGTAAATGTACCGATTTTGGTCAAATGTAAGTTCGAGTAGTTCTTCAACTTCAGCGTGTTTCAAGTGATATTGAATGATTAGATTAATACCTTTTTTCCCAGTCATCTGAATTGTCTCAGTCTAATGTTTGATAACATAACCAAAGGCATCCCACCCAAGAGGATAACGCCTGCCTTGTGAAGGTCTCGTGAGCCCGACGAATACCTGCCTTCAACTGGTTTCTGACAGTCAGTCTGGTGGGCTTCATTCCTGAATTTATTCTGTGGCTGTTGTAGTGACTGTATTTTGCACTCTTTAAAGAGGGGCATGTCTCTTGAGACACTCCTTTAATATACTGTTAAAGTATTCTAATTGTTTAAAAAAAAAAGCCAGAGTGGTGATTGATTGATTGAGTGGTGATTGAGCAGACATTCGGCCAATAGAAAAAGCGATTTTGTGTGTTGTATGCAAAAGGTATAATGGCACCTGAAAATATTTGTATGATTGTGGGTGCTTGTGCAGTGTTGGACAAAATTGCTGTGCAGTTACACAAGCCTATGGAGGATGATAAGGTAGAAGAGTTGACGGATGTGGATCCCTACCATGGACCTCAACAGGGTCTGTCAATTTGGGACCACATCTGTCAAACAATTTGGTTGAAATTTTTAACATTTATGCTGTCTTGACTTTCTGTGATCCTTTTTTCACGTAAACTATTAATAGGTAATGAGTTGATTTCAAGCGGCATTTGGTGTAAATAAGCACTTGTAAATCTTACAGACTACAACTTGCACTTACCCATTTGTTGTCTTTAAAAAAATTTACTCAATAACATAATTTCAAATGCAATTTAGTGTAAACAAACACTCATAATTATTTCAAAGACCACAAATTGCACTCGCCCTACAGGCTTGTGCAATTTTGCTGTCATTACCTAAACTAAATATGGTGTTTAAGGTAAATAGTTCAGTTTTGCAGGCAAATGGCTTAGAGAAAAAGGTCTATATTGTAAAGCTTTGTCAATGTGTAGAAAGTCAGGGTCACTAATTTTGGGCTGTTAATGTTCTTGACTGACACATTTCCCCCTGAAGCTTTACTAATTCTCAGCCAAATATTCATTTTTTGGACACTCTCAGATGCTGACATCATCAGTTGACATACCAGCAAGACAGAAAGGATTTTATTTACTAAGTAACCTGAAATTTATTGTCAGTAGCCCAAAAATGTTTTTTGCAAGGTCACCTTTCGTGAATTATCACTGCTATTGGTATGTATACATGACTATATATCGTTAATAGGTAATACTGCAACAGTAAAACAAAGGGTTCTGTCTCTTTTATTCAAAAAAAATTTTGCTTGTTGCCTGTAAATTTAATGACATTGATGCCCTAATATTATCATGGCAAAAGTCATAAGCAAGATACATGGGTTGATGTCATCTGTAGTCAATTACCCTTCTCCTGCAATAAACAGTTCTTAGATGTTGGAATATATCTCCAAGGCCAATTAAGAGATACCAGCTATTGCACCATGGAAAGTAAGGTTCCTTTATCACTCTCATCTTGTAATCGCTCTGAAAAAAGAAAACTGGTCATAAATAAAGTAACAAGTATTTAAGTATGTATGCATCCTAATTAGTTGATGGTGAGAGTTTGGTTTCTTGATTTGTCCATTTATCTGTTGAGAAAAGTAATTCCAACTCAAGGAAACAATCCTCACAATCCTTGCTGTCAATTTCATGGGAAACCTATAATCTGCAAGGACACTAACTACTCCAATTTTGATTAGGACTTCTCTAAAGAAAAATCCAGAACTCTTTCTTGCAATCAGAGAAGTACCCCGTCAACTCCAAGCATGGTATTGACGTTTTCTTTGAAGGGGCAACAAATGCTTTAACCATGTGCAATATGCAGGAATAACTGCCATGTGTGAGTTTCCATCTGAGGAATATGGCTGAACCATAGGCTTTCTCTCCTCTGGCAATCCAACAACTCAATGCATTTCTCGTTTTTGGCTGAGAAATGCATTTCTTAGCCAAAGTCAATGTTATCTTTTGGATCTAACTTTGATAAAAGCTGAGACATTACAAAGGGTGCTTCTGAGGCATTGGTCACTGCTCAGCCGTTTGATCCATGCTGTTTATGAAACCAAGAATTCTAGCCACTTAGTGAGAAAGGAATTTCGAGTTGCACTTTACTGGCTGGAGATTTGTAATTTCGGTTAAGGGCATATTCATTAATTTCCTTTGATCTCCAAATTTGGTATTGAGAATTTTCCACGCCAGCTCAATCATTTTTCCTTACTTGATCCAACCAAAACAGTTTTTAGGTAACGCTTTCTGAAGCCTTTGCAATTGTTAATCTTTGTCTTGTTTGCACTTATTCATTCAATACTGAAATTCGTGCTCCTAAGTTGTGTAAGATTTTCTAACACCATCCCACGTGGGAACTGGCAACTTCTCTAGCCTGTGTACTTTTTCAAACTCAGAACACCGGTCATTTTTGTTACTACTGATGTCATTGCTTCAAGCACTTCCTGTTTAAACAGCGGCTTTTCAGTCACAAATGATTTCTGATAAATTGCGAATTGCTCTGGGTATTTTAAAAACTTAGCTTTGGCTTCATCACTCGATTCTTTGTTTGTCATTCTTCTGACGCTGATTCAGTAAGTCTGTTGGCAATTGTGTCTTGCTGCTTTTTAACACTTCTCTATTTAGATTTAACTTGTTTTTTATACATTGCTTAGGGTACCACTCAAGAGTGGTTCAACTTGGTAAAACACATGGAATTCAAATAAGTCATTCAATGAAGCTATTGTGCTGTCTCTTTTTGCAATAAGTGTTAAAAAATATATTTCAGGAGTCATAATATACTACTATCTGCGTATAATAAATATAAATTTTAGTTACTAGCATAAAAGTTTATTTACACACTTCCTAAAACATAGCATCAATGCTTCTTGGATTTCTTTAAACAGACAGGTATCTTTTGCTTGAATGTAAACAGTTTAATTAAGTATGTGAATACTTGGTCAATTGTTGACAAGAGTAAAGTCTTTACAATAACATTAGAAGTGATATCTGAATTCTTAAACTCTTGAACTTAAACTTGGAAAAACGAGGTTGGTGGTAAATAAGGAATTGTTTTACCTTTCAGCTGTCAAATTTACCTGTTTAGTTGGGTTCTGTTAGCTTGTGTGTTTGTGTCTTTCAAATACCTTTTTGTTGAGCCTCGTGACTTGTGACTTGTTCTCTTCGCAGTCCTGGCTATTTGTAAGCATTTGTTTGCTCTTCCCTTCTCGGCCAGGGCAGATTTTTTGACTGATTCGAACTCGTGGTCGAAGGTGAAGAATAAGAAGACCAGGTGTTGACACAAGAAACAGAAGAGTCGATGTTTGCTCTTTATATTGACGAAAAGTAAAATATTCTGGTCCGCCCTTCTCCTGGTACTGTTCGCATTGATTACACAAATACTCTTGTTACACACCAAAGGGGGTATTTAAATGTTTTTTAATCCTCTCTGGATTCAGAATTTGTAAGTAAATCATTAATTAGGCAAATCAACCAGTATAATTTGCTAAAGAGTTGGTTAAACCAAGTTTACAAGCTAGGAACTTAAAATTTACATTGCTCAGATGATGGCGAGGTTTGGCATAAGCACTTTGGGTAATAGTGCTCGCAGAGATTTTTCAATGATGACAAAAGCTAACCAAACCATTATAGCGTAGTCAGTTGTTTGTATAGTATTTAGGGTGAGGTTGGAATTGATGATTACTCGCACTTTTGTAATGCATCTGATCCTGTCCAAATTTTCTTCCTAAATTGAGGCAGTTCACCATACTGACAACCATGTCGAAAAAAGTCGAGCATGGGTCATGGATAATGTATTCCTTTTAACAGGCTGAACTTGTGGTGGTGGTTCATATGGCCTTCCTTATTCTATAAAACCTAGTTTATGTTAGCTTTATGTTTTCCTCTCTCTTTATATTGTGAAAAAATTTGGAAAGATCAAATGAGATAAAACTGAGTGGTAAATAGATACATCCACCTAGCAACATGTCAATAGACTGTTGTGTAACAGACTGCATCATTAGAGATGCACAGATACTTTAGATAGGATGCATTCATGATGTTGGAGGTATTTATATTTTAAACTTGCTAGACCGTGCAGCAATACATTTTTGTTACTTTCCTTAATTGTTCTGTAGTCTGATATGTTAAATTAGTAACTGTAGTTGTTTGTACATGTTTTAAAATCAGCCACACAAGCCTCTCTTGACAATACTCAGAAAGTATTACTTTAATCTGTCAGAATTTTCCTTTCGATAATTAGCTTGTGTAACTGTTGTTAAAGAAATTTCACAGTTGTTTTGCTAGAGATATATTTCAAATAAATTAGTAACTGAGAAGATGAAACTTGAGTTCAAGTAACAAACTGTTAATACTTTAAATGGCCTCTGCTTCTCATCTCTTCCCTTTTAGCTATTGTGAAATTTTGATGGTGACAATGGTGGTCATAGTGTTACTGTTGGCTGCTGTATTGTTTTATTGCTCTTAGGGCGTCTAAATCTTTCAAAAGGTGTTGGTAAGGAATGGTGGACCAAAAAAAGTTAAATTTAATTTTGGTCATTTCTCATAATTTTACGACCATTCCTTTTCTTGTTATTACCTCATTGAATTGGAAAGTTCAAGCAGTGGCCGAGAACCTTAATAGCAGAATCTAGTTGTCCTGCACACATGCTACCTAAATGGACCCTCTGATGTTGCCTCTTGCCACAAAACTTGTTATCTGACAAAGCCTACCCATTGCCAATTTTTGATGAAAGCTGTTGTTGTACTGTGATGCAAGCTTGTGGTACAAACAGTGCAGTGAGGTGACAGTGGATTTATTTTCTTTCGATGACTAGCCATGCCACTAAAGTGACCAGTTATCAGTGTTGCGCTATTAGAAACCAGAGAGCTACAGTCTTTCACCTTTACTCAGAGCGTGATTTCTTTGAGTTGTGAGGAGGCTTAAGGTGGTTTTTGCATTGGCTTTGTGTAGTTTTTCAGAACATTTCAATCCGCATTGAACGTGTTTCAATGTTCTCTGTTTTGTTTCCAGGAAAGATACATCTGTGAACTCAGCAGTTAGGAGACCAAAGCAATTTGCTCTCTATACCTTCCCCAACAAGTTGTCATCAAAAGAGTTCCTAATTACCAAAAATATTACCCCAATGGAACTCTGTGCTGAGTACTGGAAATTCTTCATCTCATGAAAACCAAAATATGTTTGCAGATTAGCCAATGATGAGAAATTTGGATTTCAGACTTTCTCTTTGACAAGCCAGTATGCTGCGCTATATGCCTTAAACATGAGGTCATTTCTGTGGAGTTTCTTTTCCTGCACTTTTTTTTAATGTAATGTAGAGTTCGCAATTTTTGTTAACAAAATATAGAGACTTGTCCCTGTATTTCAGACTCAATGGGAGCTTTGTGTTGCTGGATCATCTCGGAAACTGTTCACAGGGTGTGGCGTGAACATTTTTTGTTGCTTGCATAAGAAGCAAAACATTCCTTCTCCTTCTTGCAAGTGTTTAGGCTCTTCTGGAACAACCAGTTGTGCAAAAATCTGTCCTGTCCAGACCTAAGCTGAGATTTTTTGTGAGTTGATAGGTGCTAGAAATTGTTTCTAGCATACTTGTAGAAGTTGTATATGATAATGTCTGTTGAAAGGGAAAATAGTATTTCAACTTCTTTCATAGTCAGAGGTGTGTCTGAAGGTGATTTCTCTAGGTTTTGCATCACCTCTTTTGTTTGTAATATTGTCATACTTCCCTCCCTTGGTTATTGAGGAAAGTATCAGTTCATATGCAATCCAACTTTGAATCATCTTCACTTGCTTTGCACTGACATAAGCTGTTCTCTGAAAGTTTCCTCAGCTCAACATGCCTGTAGTGAGTTCTTGGTGATACTTCTGGAATAGCTGCTCTGTGTGCTAAGAGACTACATTTGCCCATTTTCTGAAGTGTTTGGGAGACCATTCAGGGGTGAAGTATAGCATAAACCCCAAGTTGCTATCAACTTCAAAGAACTGTTTATCTGTAATATTAGGTTGATTAAACAAAGAAACATTGTCTGTAAAGCAACCTCGCTGCATGAACTACCATGAACTACCTTCTGTGGCCTCTGATCACTTTTCATCTCCTCTTGGTACTTGCTTTTTTGCTGCACTACATCTGCACTAAGCAGATCTTGTCTGTAACCCTCTTCAGTATATTTGCAAAGAGGGATGTCTAGCGCTTGGAAAAGCTTAACAACAGCAACTGCGCCAATATTGAAATGTATCTCTTCCAATGTTAATTTCTTTTGAATTTCTCAGCCACACCATCCCATTCAAAGATCTGTTTTGATCCTGTTTCTTGCCATGTAAGCACTTCTGCAGTAACGCATCCTCAATTAGTCTTAGATTCAGGCTTTAGCATGGCGATAACAATGCCTGATATTCTAGAAAAGTCATTTCCATGTGGTTTTGAAGCTTACATTGTTTAAGTCCTTGGCTTAGCTTCCACATGGTGACACGACCATTGTGTAATAAGTAGCCTGTCTTTTGCCATTTGTCACCAGGTTGCTGTGGAAAGATTTCTCAGTTCCAGGTGGAGGCATATTCATTACTGAGTGGAAGTGGCCTAAAATAAGACATTAAGGCTGTATTTAAAAGAAAAATGAAAACAAGTAAAATCTAAATAACTGTATCTTAAGAAGTACATCAAAAGTATTAAAATACATTAAGTGATAATCTAATCTGCAATATCTACTCTAATTTAGCAATGTTTCATATAAAACACTACACCACAATGAGAAGACTGTATCTTGTCTTAAATGGAAGTAAAGATTAGCATAGTCAAATGTTTAAAGAAAGTGAGCTCCACAGTTTAGCATCACTTTAATGACAAGTTTTTTGAGGTATTTGGTCGTTTTACCACTTTCCCCTGATTCCCAGGCAGAGGCGACTAGCGACAGGTTAAACAGACCCTTCTCCACAATGATATCATGATGTCCTGTGTCAATGTCAAAGTTATCTTAGTATCCAGAGTAACTATCAGCTCTACTCCACCTTTTCATTGGACGTTTGATGGATATCAGTGGCATATACTGTTTGAGAGAAGTGTACCCCTTTATACTTGATCCTTGCTTCTTCCACTGCCTGCTTGCTATTGGGGTTATGACAGTGAGACAAATTGGCTGTTAATCTTGCTAGGAATGGTCTTAATTGGTATAGTGTATCTGTCTGAGCAGAGTCGCAAGCTGGCATCTAAGAGTTATCATTCAGATGTAAATATTACATTTTAGGCAACACCTTTGCAGTTTCAGGGATGAAAAATAGTGGATGCTCCTGACAATTATCGAAAGAGTCCCCTTTTATTGAACCAAAAATGTTTATATAGTCTTACTTGACCAGACAACGGAAGAAACAATGGTGTAAAAACCAGCCATTGCACAACCTGTGGTACGACCTTACTCATCAATGCAATCAAAGTAAATGTAATCACGTTTCATGAAATTCACCAAAAAAAGCTGTTTCTGAGCTTTTTATGTGTAAACAAGTAGTGCCATTGTTCAATCATGAGGAAAGTGTGAGATGAAAGTAGAAAACCATTCTTTGATGTCATTCTGAAATGAACTGAATTTCAGGGTAAAAACCAATTTGAGAGAGCTATTTTGTCGTCACTTGTTTGGTTTGGAACGACATCAATTGCTGAGAAACTTCTGATGGAAGTAGGCAAGGCTCTCAAAAGATTTGGCTGCATTTGTGGAGTTAAGAGGTCGAATGATGAGTTGTAGATCACGAGACTGCTCACTTTGGTGTCCTGAAATGGCCACAAATAGGCCTATTGAAATCCTGGCGTTGAAGCTGAGAGTGATGGCAGTAGCTCCCACACAATGATTGGTGTAAACTTTGGATAAACCAGCTTCTTCACTGACATTTTTTCCATTTTAGTTGACTTATATGTAATAATAATAATATAGTAATCAACTTTATTTAACAAGAGCTACACAAAGCAGTAAATATACTGAAGAACCCCTGGCCCTATAAATAGTACAAATTAAAAAACTAATGACATTACATAAAAGCATTCAAGACTTACTGTGTAAGGAGTTATTAAAATAAAATTATGATATAAAAGTTAAAATTTAAACTATCTGGTATATTAAAACAGGGCAAAGATAAGGTCAGTTAATAAAATGTAAAATTTAAAAATACATGACAAAAATTATTCAGTAAATGTTCTAAAATGGATTTCTTGAAGCCTATAAGATTCTGTTTCTTTCTCATCTCGCTGGGGATCTTATTCCAGAGGCGGATAGTTGATACTGTGGAGGACCCCTTCCACCCTCTCAGACTCCCATTTGAATTGGGGGTAGACAAGGTTTGATTGTCCATGTTTAATCGCTCATTCAGTAACATCTGCATTTCTTATTAACATCTGACTCATATGGATGGGCAATCGCCAGCAGTCTGTTAAATACCAAAATTGACTTATATATTCTTGCTTCATCATAAAAAGCGACCCAACCTAATTGTTTAAAAAGTTAAACACTCTTTGATTTCGTATCAGCACCCAGCTGTGTGTTTCTGTAGCCTGAAAACTTTTAGAATATTTTCTGCAGAGTAGGATGTCCACACGGTTGAGGCATACAGCTTTGTCTACTTGACCTTTGCATTATAATAAAGTTTCCTTTGATCAAGAAGCAGCAAGCATCTTATTTTCCGCAGTACAGCCATTCTCTGTGTGAACTACTTGCATAGACTATCCTAACCTTCAATAGTATAGAGGGTGGAATAGAAATTCAAGAAGCATGTATGCCCACGATCAAAAAACAAGACAACAGGAGAGCCGTGCGACAGCGGACAGCCAAGGGAGCAATTTACTGAATGAAACAGCAAGGATCGAAATGCACCAATCAGAGCTGTTGAAAAACGACTAATCACAGCAGAGCATCATGCTTTATAAGATCACGCAAGACCAGTCGACCTCATCACCTGAAGAAGAGTAGCAGTATGCAGTCAAAATGTTGCGATCAACATCACGTGTGACTACATGGTGAGACAAATGAAAAACTTAGCTTTTATTGTTATTCACTACAATGAATAACCACAACCATTTTTTGATATTTTTCTCGTTTCCTACTAGATTATTTAATCCGTGTTCGGCACTTTTATTGTCATTTGATAGACACTTCCTCAGGTTCCAGAGTTTCCAAGAATTGTTCTTGTTTTCATCAATTTTTAGTTTTTATGTACAATTGTTTTGTATTCCTGATAAGCTTGGTCACACTGTTTTTTACTCGCTCAAAAAAATTCCAGTTGCTCTCTGCTTGGTTGTTCTGGCTTTCTTGAGAAGCTTGTCACGAGCCTTTATCCCTTTCAGGATTTTGGCATTGAAGCATTTTGGTTGGACTTTACGCTTTACTCTCTTTTGCTTTAAAGGGAGATGCTCATCAATAATACCATTGAAAATTTTATACCAGGTGTCAACTACATCATTTGGATCCTCAAATACAAAGGCGCAGTCCCAGAGGGCTTCATACAGGGATAAAACAAGCTGCTCTTTATTAAGACTCTTGATGTCTTGATAAGTTCTTGTGGTGTGTTGATCTCTTTGTTCTTTGAGCGTTTAAATTTCCTGTTAACAATAACTGGGAGGTGATTAGATATCTCAGAAGACATAATCCTCATATTATGAAGGTACTACGAGGCCCGATTTTCATAGGCTGTGTATTTCAAGCGGTCGAGCTTTGTACTATCCTGCACCTTTTGCTATGTTGTTTTTCTTTAGATACTGCAAAAAAGTAGTGCACAATGGATAACTTGTCTGGCAAAGGCTTACTATAAGAAACAATCCTTCCTACCTCCCTCTCTTGCCTTTAACTTTTGCCACTGCTTGTTCCTTTCTCTCTTATTTCCACATAGGTACTTATTTCAATTTCCTCTTTCATTTCTCTTGCTCTTTGGAAGATGAATTTGTGGTCCTTAGTGTTTCCAAAGAGGTGCAGGAGTTAGTCCGCCAGCCCTTATATTTTATTTTAATTCCTTTAATGCATTATATGCAAAATTCATTTCCTATTTATATCCAAAACTTTCTCATTTAGACCCTTAGCTCTATCTGCCAGCGAGTAGACCTCGACTTGGACCTAATTAACTGTCTTTTCCAGGATAGAAAATTTACCCAAATGCCCTCCAATCGTTGCACTTGCAGTTTCAACTGTGGGGGGTTTGGATTCTTAAACAAACATATCTTGTCTGGAGTTGGAGACCTACTGATTTTGAGCACTTGACTTTGGTTTTGAATCGATAATACTATTTTTAGATTTGAATCAAACATTTTGTGTGCGATAACAAACATAATGCAAAAGCATACAAATAGAAATTACATAAGCAAAATTATACCTCCTCTGAAGTTTGCACGGTCTCAAGTAAATCAGTTCACGTTGTTATGACTTATTTTTATTGTTGGCTCCTAAAGGAGCCGTTTGTGTGTTAGGAGAGACAACTTTAATTGTAAAATCGATCATCGAATTTGAATGGCTACAGCTTTCCATCTCGTCGCACGTTTGCCATAGCTGGCAGGTGTCGCCGACGTCTTCTCCAGCAGACTGTTTATAGGTCTTTAACAGAGCCCACGCATATTTCTCGTGATGCCGATTCGAGTTCACGCTCATCTACAATTCATAATTCAGCGATGGCGATGAAATCTCCGAGGGTGCTGCGGGGGCAACTGGCCAGCCAAAACGCATTTGCCATGCTACAATTGTTTTCCTTAAGGATTTGTAGCACCCTCTGGTATCTTGTTTGGATTGTGGCCAGACTGTGGGTGCTGGCGCGAGTGGCGTCTTTCTGTTGAGGTTGCTGCTGAGGTTCGTCAGAGAGTGTTAAGCTCGGCCTTGAATTTGTCTTGATGGCATCCACCAACTTAGTTTTCAGAGTCTTGATGGCCTCTGACTTTGTTTGAATAAGTCACCTGGATAAATTTCTTTGTGAACTTTGTATTAACTGTGCAGCTGAGAAACAGGAATGAAGAACTTTGAGAGGAAGTTCTCTTTGTTCTGTCTCATCTAAAGTACCAGTGGGAGAAGTAAATAAGCAAGAGATAAGGATCTCCCAACTGCGTGCACACTCATTGGTATATCACAGCGATGACAGTCGCTCCAGACTCCCCTGTGTTACCTGGTACACCAATTTCTGCACTGAGACATTAAATTACAAAGTGAAAAAGTCCTCTTTGGCATGGTACTCACTTTTATCGTTTTGAAATTAACCAAACAGGGCTGGGCACTGTTCAGTGACAGCATTTATCATTATTTTTCCTGTAGAAACTTAAGGCTACTCATATTGATTGCTTTTAAACTGTGTTGGTCAAATATCAACGCCTTGAAATTATTGACCTCTTCTTCCTGCAGAACAATGTGGGCAGAGGCTGCATTTATTGAGTGCTGCAGTACATCCTTCTACTTTACCATGGTAGTGCAGCCAGGTACTATACAGCAGACCGTTCTTTCTGGTCACTCGCTCAAATGCAGCATCAAGTGGAGCCTGCAAAAGAAATAAAGTAGGTGTGGCTGCCATGGGTGACTTTCAGCAATAAATATAGACAGTTTTAAATGCGACTTAATGATATATTCTATTTCAACAATACATACTTTATTGTACATACATACATACTTTATTTTTACCTCCCCAATGGGGCTTTTCAGGAACAATTATTTAAATTACTAAAGTTACTAATAACTACACAATTAAAAATAATTAAATTTAAGAAACATTTACAACATTATCTAAACTTTGTAGTCGAGAAAAACTAAAAATAAATGAAGTTTAGGGAATATTTACAAAATTGTCTAAAAGCTTGTTCTTTAAGATACGTTTAAAAACTTGAACCGAACGGCTTGATTTTAAATAGGGGTCTAAATTGTTCCAAAGTCCAACAGTTCTGTAATAAAATGTTCTTTGTCCTGAGGCTGTTTTAAAAAGAGGTATATTAAGCTTTTGGCCACTC